AATTGAAGGAAAGGTATGGAGATTTCCCATATACTCCTTGCCCCCACATATGCATAGCCTCTCCCATTATCAACATTCCCCACCAGAGTGGTCCATTTGTTATAATTAATGAGTCTTCATTGTTTGTGTTCCTTTAATATGTCACTATCCCTTTTTAAAATATTTATTTATTTGAGAGAGAGATAGTGAGAGAGAGCATGAGTGGGAAGGAGGGGGAGAAGCAGACTCCCTGCTGAGCAGGAAGCCCGACACGGGGCTTGATCCCAGGACCCTGGGACCATGACCTGAGCCAAAGGCAGACGCTTAACCAACTGAGCCACCCAGGCGCCCATCACTATCCCTTTTTATGTACTTCTTTATTTTCTGGAACCACAGACATTCCAAAGTTATTTTTAATTTCCCTACCCCAAACCTTGAGTTAAACTCTTCTCTAAGGAACTCTGATTCCTTTTGTTGAAGAATGCTATTTAGAAACCAAAATCTGGGGATGCCTGGGTGGCTCAGTTGGTTAAGCATCTGCCTTCAGCTCAGGTCATGATCCCGGGGTCCTGGGATCGAGCCCCATGTCAGGCTCCCTGCTCAGTGGGGAGTCTGCTTATCTGTCTCCCTCTGCACCTCCCCTTTGCTTGTGCTCTTTCTCTCTGTCAAATAAATGAATAAAATCTTAAAAAAAAAAAAAAAGAAACCAAAATCGAGGCTAAGTGTGCTTATCATTACTGGAGTATCATTATTCCTGGGCTCACTCAGGAGACAGAGGTATGAAATATATGTATGTTTATTAACCTGTGCATGCGTGCACACACACACACTCCTCTTTATTTCTGTATCTATCTATATATCTATATTTAAAAATATGAGTTGGTACTAATATATGAACACCAAAATGTTCGTTTTAGTCTTTCCCCTTTATTTGTAACTTCTTTCTATGACAGGGGAAAACCTACTTCTCCTTATCTATAATATATTCACTTCTTTGATTTTTTTCTAGCGGTTATGCAATTGATAACCTATACCCCTGTGACAAGCAGATTTGCTAACTGAAGTTTTTTAGTATAATTTTTTTGTCTTTAGCAGTAGAGTATCCAGCCAAAACACTGATTTACTTTACTTACATTTGTTCTTTTCATCCTCATCCCCTTCAGTGTGGTTATGTTAGGTTTCATTTGTTATTGTTTGGCTTCCATTTTGCCCACCTCTGCATCTCCTGCCCTGATCCTTGGTTGATTTCTTTTATTGCTATGGTTCTAAGAGCCAAAGCTATGCAAAATGGTATATTTGGAGAAGTGTCTGTCCCCACTGATACCTACCCCATTCCCTTTCTCTCCTTTCTACCACTTTTCCACCCACTCACCTGTAGGTTATTAATCTCTTTAGTTTCTGGTCTTTCTTTTGCAGAAATGAGGAGATACATATGGATTTTTTTCCCATCAACTTCTTTCTTACAATTATATTGTTTTAAAAATTTTAACTAATTCGATATGGTTCCATTTTGTTGTGGTTTTAATTTGTATTTTTCTTATTAATGAAGTTGAACATCTCTTCATATTTTCAATAGCCTTTGGGTTTTTTATTTTAGGAAATGTCTATTAAACTTTTTTTTGCTCATTTTCTCTTGGGTGTGTAGGAGTAATTTATGTGTTCTGAATACAAATCCTTCGTTAGTAATACTTGTTATGGATTTAGGAGGCTTGTCATTTTATTTGTAATGTCTTTGATGAAGAGTTCTTAAGTTTCATTTATCTATCCTCTGGACTTTTGTGCTTAAGAAATCCTCTATGAGTTCATATAGTTATTCTACACTGTCATTTAAAATTTTTAGTTTTGTCTTCTACATTTAAGTTTTTAATCTACCTGATTTTATGTATTTATTTATTTTGGGGTAAGGTAAGATCCAACATAATTTCTTGGTTCTTCACCAGTTATTAAAGTTACCACTGATCTGCAATGCAAGATTTATCATTAACCAAGTTTCCATATGTATGGGGTTCTCTTTCTGTGGTCTACCCCTGTGCCAGAACCACTTTGTCTTAGTAATACAGCTCTATAATTCTTAGTCCCTGGAAAGGCAAATCTGTCCTACCTTTTCTGCTTTAGGACTGCCTTGACTATTCTTGGTCCTTTGCTCTGCCATATACATTTTTAAAACAATTTTTCAAGGTTAAAAAAAAACTGTTAGAATTTTTATTGGAATTACATTGTGTCTCTAGATAAATTTGAGGAGAATTTATTTTTAACTATATTTTATGATATAGCTCTATTCAGGTCTTCTTTAATGTCATTAATAGTTTTATCATTTTCTCTATAGAGATCTTATACACCTTTATTCCTACTTAATATTTTATGTTATTGCCAATGTTTTTTTAAAAATATATACTTCTTAACTGTTTGCAGCTAGTGTATAGAAATGCAGTTAATTTTTATAAATTGATTTTGATTCTATCAACTTAACCAAATTCTTATATTTGATTTATCTGTGGATTGTTTTGCATTTTTTACACAGACATATTATTAATACATAATGATAGTTTTGTTTCTTCTTTTACAGTTACAAGTGAAAAATATCAGGATATACAATTACAAAATGCTAGGTAGCACAATATGCATAGGAAAAGACACAGGAAGGAATGCACAGAACTGTTCACAGTCGCTTATTTTGAGTTAAAGAATTATGGATAAATTTTTCTTTTTAATATATCTCTATACTTTCCAGTTTTTCCAAGATGAGTATCTATCACTTTCATAACCAGGAAAGAAACAAAACTTAAAAATAAAAGCAAGTCTAAAACAAACTTTAAAGGTAAGGATTACCTACTAAAAATGCCCAGTTAGAAATTAAAAAATCAAGTACCTATGATGTGCCTGCTCCCCACTGAAACTCACCACAGCAGAGCCAGATGGCTGCATAGTTATGGACCATTACACATGTTATATCTAAGAGAACAACCTCTTAGATTCATGGAACTTTGCTTTCCATTAGGGCATGTATGAAATTGACCTGTCAAAGGTCTTTATTCATTTATTTTAAAACATAGTCAACTCTTAATTATCCATAAGAAATATTTTTATTCTTTATGAATTATTTATGATCTTTTCATATAGTAAGTTACGATTAATTTGCACTGCTTATTTCCTAGGGATAAACTTAGGAAATATAGACTTATTTTCAACCGGCACTCTTCTCCCTCTGAGAATATACAGATTAAGGAAACAGAAACCCCCGGAGATTAAGTACGTTCTCTCTCTATTTGCTCACCTCCTCTATCACCGCCTCCCATAGTACGTACTTGCCTCCCATCATGACACTTTTCAAAATTATCCATCTTCTCCATCAAAAGCTTCATGAGGTTAAGACCTTTGTCCTGCACTCCTGTGCATCCCCATGACTAGCACAATACCTGACATAGTACCTGATACATAATGGAAGCTCAATAAACCACTATGGAATACTGAATGCATTTTATAAGAAATCCACTTTCAGAAAAATCAGAATACCTGCCACATTAAGTGTTTGATTGCTTTCAGGTATAGTCACAATAACATTTGGCTACATTTGGGTGGAAATTGAAAACAATGTCTGGGTAAAGTCTTCTCGGCGAAAAATGTTTGAAAGCAAAATGACCTTTCTGTTCATCTTTTCTTGCATAATGAATTTTTCATATGGTAAAACATTCTTCCTATTTTCTTTTATACCATTTAGAGCTATTACTTTACAGCATCTAGATGTTAATTGCATGTCTTTGTTAAATGAGCTGATTTTATCTGAAAAGAAAAGCTAGGTAAACAAAACTAAGTCAACATAATTTTATAAAATCTCTTAATTTAACTTGTTTCTTTTTAATTTTAATTTTTTTTCACATAGTTGTGGCTGGTGGGTGTGGCTGATACTAGATGTCGAATACCCTCTAGTCCTGGGAGCCCAGGCTGATCCTCAAGGTCCCCATGACATATCTAACCCTGAAATTAGCCTTCTGGTTCCTTCTCCTTCTTGGAGGGCTGTGGGCTTGAGTCACAAGGCTCTCATCTCAGGGGAGATTAGTCCTTCCCCCCATGCAGCTAAAGGCCTGGAAGAGGGGGTTGCCCTTGGTTTGGGTTTTTTCCCCCCAGCTTCATTGGGATATAATTGCCATATAACATTGTGTAAATTTAAAGTATACAATGTACACCTTGATGATTTGATACTTTTATATATTGTGAAATATTTATCATAATAAGGTTAGTTGACACATCCTCCACCTCACATAATTATCATTTTGTCTCTTCATTTGGAAGGAGGATTTTATGTTTTAATTGATTATCCCAAAAACACCTTCATGTGCTTCAAACTTTTTAGATGTTTGAATGTAGAAGTAATTATATTATGGACAGAGGTAATGATACAGTACTGAAATTTCCATTTCTGATATTTTGATATAGTAATTTTGGGTAATTTGGTTCATTTTATTAATTTGGTACATAATCCAACATCCATTGAGGACTGCCCATACTCTAGTTACTGTGCAAAACTGTCACTATATAAAATGAGTAAAAGCTCACAGTCTAGTTATGGCATATATGGACATCCTATGTTATTTTCCTTTTTCTTCTATATGTTTTGTTGCTGATTTGGGGGGTAAAGAAGGCTTGTGTGATTCTATTAATCAGGTCAAGGGCTATAGCTCTGAGTGGCCTATGGTCGCTATCATAGCAACACTTTAACATAAATAGAATTTAATTAGACAGAGGCCTCATACATTCGACCGCTCCTACTTAACATAGCAGATCATTCGTTCCCTGTTGCCCTTTGTGTGAGGTGTAGGAGGTGGGGTGGGGGGTTCTAAAGGAAAAGAAATCTGGTATTTCCTCATTAAATTGGGGTGGGGAATATGCAGTTTCCCCATACATATGCTCTGTAAACCTATACATAAGGCTACTACCTGGTATATCAGTTGACATTGAACTTCAGTTTATTTCATTTATATATATGTACGTGAAAAGATAAACTCTTTTTTTCTTCTTGGCAGGTGTCCTTGTAGACTTGGGTCTGGAGGAAAATGGGACAGCTTATCAGAGAGCAGAGAAATATGTTGTTCGTCTAGACAATGAGATTCAAACCAAGTTTGAAGTTTTTATGAGAAGGGTAAAACAGAACCCGTACACACTGTTTGTGCTGGTTCATGACAACTCCCATGTGGAACTAACGAGGTGATTGCTTCAGAGTGAGCAAATACAGTGTTTCTTCTAGCACAGCAATGATTTTATCATAAATTCCCGAAAAGCCCAGAGACCCTAAAACTTGGCATATTCTTATTGGTAACTTATTCCTACTCCTTCCCTATGCTCTCAACTTTCCCTACCAATTTAGTGTTGATTTCATTTTAACTTATTGTGAATGAATTTAGAAATCTTTGTTAAAGGGACACCTGGGTGGCACAGTCAGGTAAATGGCCGACTCATGGTTTCGGCTCAGATGGTGATCTTAGGACCATGATCTCAGGGTCATGATCTCAAGGTCCCGAGGTTGAGCCTGGCCTCGGCCTTAAGCTCCTGTGCTCAGTGGGGACTCTGCCTAAGTCTCTCTCTGTCCCTCCCCTACTCGTGGGGTCCTTCTCTCTCTCAAATAAATAAATATATCTTTTAAGGAAGGAAGGACGGGAGGAGGGAGAAAGAGAAAGAAGGAAAGAAAGAAAGAAGGAACCCCTGTTAAAAAGCTGTCTTCAGGGTATTGCAGAACTCAGCTGCCTCAGAGAAAGGACAACAAGCAGGAAGGTTGAGGTTCATGAGCTTCCAGAAGGGCCATGTGCTTTCTTTTCCCCACCCTTCTTCCTCCTCAGTTCTTTTCCCTTTCTCCCCCCTTCCTCTTTTCTTTCCTCTTCTGCTGTTGCTCCTGTTCCTTGCCTTTCTCCCGACCTGCATACCTTTAACAGTAGTAAAGATGCCATTTAAAGATCTGAGAGCAGGGGCACCTGGCTGGCTCAGTCAGGAGGAGCATGTGACTCTTGGTCTTGATGTTGTGAGTTTGAGCCCCACGTTGGGTGTAGAGATCACTAAAAATAATAAATAAACTCTAAAAAGAATTTTTTTAAAAAAAGATCTGAGGGCGCCTGGGTGGCTCAGTTGGTTAAACGACTGCCTTTGGCTCAGGTCATGATCCTGGAGTCCCGGGATGGAGTCCTGCATCGGGCTCCCTGCTCAGCAGGGAGTCTGCTTCTCCCTTGGACCCTCCCCCCTCTCACGTGCTCTCTCTATCTCATTCTCTCTCTCAAATAAATAAATAAAATCTTTAAAAAAAAAATAAAAAATAAAAAAAGGTCTGAGAGCAAATCTGAAACCTTCCCCAATTTACCAGTTTAAACAAGAGTATATCCTATTTCTCAGGTGGGTTAACAGTGAAAGGATAGTAAATTAGTAAATGTGGCATGATGGAGCCAGTTTTGCTCCCAGACCAAATTATAGTAATTATCTGTTAGGGTGTATCTTTGATCTTATGGGTTAAAAAGGCAAGTTCAGGCATCATCAGGTGTTCATAGATTTTCCTTTCTTCAGGACACACTGAGATTAAGAATATGAAGGATTTGGGGTCTTTTGTAGAAATAACAGAATTACAAAAGTGCTTGTTCAAAAGCCAGAATGTGTTTGACACTCCACAATCTGAACTCTAAATCCATATGTAGGTGTAAATAAGATCTTGCATAGCATATTAGATTTGAAAGAAAGAAAGAGAGAGAGAGAGAGAAGGAAGGAAGGAAGGGAGGGAGGGAGGGAGGGAGGGAAAGAAAGAAAGAAAAAGAAAAAGAAGAAAAGATTGAATTTTGCCCAGATGCTGTTCAGTTACTCCTTGTGTTCTATGAGCAAAAATGATATACCTCATCTTTGAAAGTTTGGGGTAATAGCTCTGAGGATGTATATTGGATGTATATCGCTCTATATTTAATTCCCCAGGGTACTGAGGTTATTTCTTTGACAAAAAAAAAAAAAAATACGTGGTTTTGAGGCTGCATAGCAACCTGGTACATCCAAATTGAACAGAACTGAAAATGATTCAGATATAAAAATTTTGGTCATGAGGAGGGAGGGGTTAAGTGGCCCCTGTGTAACCTCCCCATAGTATAACATGCTCAAGGGAGGAAGGAGAGTGACATTAACACAGGGGGGATTCCTCGCAGTTTGGGGGCCTTTCTGGGGTACCAATCATTGCACAGTTATAAGCATCATGTTTTGATGGAGAAACTCATTCAGATGAGCTTTCAGACCAAAGTGATCCATCTCAGCTACAGATTTAGGTATCCTTGGCCTGTAGAACTGAGTTACACTTTGAGGTATATCAGAGGCAGACTGAAACAGGAAAAAAAAAATATCTTTGAGATCTGTCTGAAAGTGGTAAGAAGGAGTGTAATTATGGCTCTTTCAAATTAAATGTTGGTTGCCTCTAATCCTGCTCCCAATTAAAGAGGACTAGAAAAATAAAAATGAAAACATTATCTCCATTTTGGTGTCTGCTTCTGTATCTGATCCCTTAAATTAGGAGGTATTAATGTGACTTTCAATATTTCTACACAGTGTCATTTCGGGTTCTTTGTCACATGGTGAACCCAGTCATGGATTGGCTGATAGAGTCATTAACTGCAGAGAAGTCCTGGAAGCTTTCAATCTGCTGGTGCTCCAGGTTAGCTCCTTCCCGTACACACTGCAGACCCAACAGTCTCGAATCAGCTCCAGCAATGAGGTTCACTGGATACAGCTAGACAACATGGTGAGTCTCTGTTCTGCTCTCTGATACACAGTCATGTTCTCAGTTCCCCAGGGAGCAGAATCTTGTAATAAAATATGGTCATTGCTTTGTAAAATAACACATGACTTCAAAAATCTAACATAAAGCTTTATCTCCCAAAAGTTCCGTATAATTACAATTATTATAAGACTAAAAAATTGTGAGTAGTGTCCTATATAAATCTGATTATGTTCTTTTTTAGGTTATCATGCAGATACAAAATTATCCATCCTATATAGTTTTCCCACAAAAAATGTGATACTATCTTATATGGCTACCAATAGCTTGGACTGTCTTTATGCCTTTAAATGATTAATTTCAGGGGCGCCTGGGTGGCTCAGTCGGTTGAGCATCTGCATTTGGCTCAGGTCCCGATCCCAGGGTCCTGGGAGTGAGCCCCACCCCCACCCCCCTGGGGCTCCCTGCTTGGCAGGGAGCTGCTTCTTCCCTCTCCTCCCCGTCATGCTCTCTCTCCCTATCTCTGTCTCTCTCTCTCAAATAAATAAATAAAATCTTAATAAAATAAAATAAAATAAATGATTAATATCAATCTGAAATGTGGAAATTTTATTGTCCTTTTGAATGGCTCCTCTGTCATGTTTCAGTCTTACTGATCTATGACTGTAAGTTATGCTCATGTTCTCCCAGCAACTGGGATTTTTTTCTTGTAATCAGTTCTCAGTCTTCTGGTTGAAACAGGGGATTATGATACTGTTATTTTAAATTACTCAGTAGTAACACTTAATGTGTTAAGAGCAGCCATCTCAAAGTTGTACATATTCAGGACTGTATGTTTTTTTGGCTCCAATCCCTAACACCTGGAAAATATTTTCCATAACCTATACAGTGTATGATAAATACACTATCCAAGAAAAGAAATAAGTGTTTCATAAAAAAACAATGAAGGTTAGCCATTAAGCAATGGATTCTTTGTTTAAAAATATTGAACATATGTGTATTTTAAAATAAACATGTTTAAGTAAAAGATGCCAGATATGTCTTACATAAGAATAACATTTAGGGGCGCCTGGGTGGCTCAGTCATTAAGAGTCTGCCTTCGGCTCAGGGCATGATCCCGGGGTCCTGGGATCCAGCCCCGCATCGGGCTCCCTGCTCAGTGCGGAGCCTGCTTCTCCCCCTCCCTCTGCTGTTCCCCTTGCTTGTGTTCCCTCTCTCACTGTCTGTCAAATAAATAAATAAAAATTTTTTTTTAAAAAAGAATAACATTTATTCACTTATCAACCCAGTGCATTTCATTCTGTTATGAAGTACGTAAGTTTTCCCTTACCTGTAGCTCTTATTTTTGAGTATTGGTTTGCTCTTTGCAGTCAAGCAAGCTCAAGTCACTGAATCATGTTGGCATCAACCATGCCTCCCTTGTGAGAACTGTCTCAGTGTGTTCACTAGCACATAGAGATTGCTTTGAGCTCTCACTTTGTTAGTATCTTCCCTATGCCATCTTCGTCAGTTGGATGTCAAATTACAGGTGAGATTAAGAGGCTACACTTTGCGTCTAAAGTGTAGGGTGCGCTTGAAGGCTACCCAAGTAGTTGCCCTGACATGGAATGGGATTTCCAATAGAACTTATGAAGGGAAAATTTGTTTTTTGATTTTTTAAAGATTTTTATTTATTTGACAGAGAGAGACACGGCGAGAGAGGGAACACAAGCAGGGGGAGTGGGAGAGGGAGAAGCAGGCTTCCCGCCGAGCAGGGAGTCCAATGCAGGGCTTGATCCCAGGACCCTGGGACCATGACCTGAGCCGAAGGCAGACGCTTAATGACTGAGCCACCCAGGTGCCCCAGGAAAATTTGTTTTTTAAGCCAACAGTTTTCCTATTAAATGTTAGCTTTCAAAATATTGTTGGGGGGAAAGAGAACCATCCTAATTTACCTTGTTGGTGTTGTCTTTTCCAGAGGGATCACACCAGTGATAGGAAGGACTCATAGCTTCTGCCCTTTACCTTCTCCTGACATGAAATAATAGGGAAATATGCTTAAGATAATTTTCCTTAGAAGTCATTCCTGGATGCCTGGATGGCTCAGTTGGTTGAGCATCTGACTCTTGATAATCAGGTCATGATCTCAGGGTTGTAAGATCGAGCCCCACATCAGGCTCCACACTCAGCATGGAGTCTGCTTGAGATTCTCTCTCTCTCTCTCCCTCTGCCCCTCCACCCACTCCTGCTCACTCTCTCTTTCTAAAATAAATAAATAAAATCCTCAAAAAAAATCATTCCTATGATTATGGTTACTTTTTTAGGCATAATAACGGTACTATGGTTATAATTTTTAAAGTGTTCTTATTTCAGAGGCATCTAGTGAAGTATTTATGAATTAAAGATTTGATACCCAGATTTAATCAAAATAATTGAGGGGTGGGGAGTTATTATACTCTAAAAAAAGGGTTTTGTTTTGTTTTTTTAATCATCACTATGAGGGGTGCCTGGATGGCTCAGCTGTTAAGCATCTGCCTTCGGCTCAGGTCATGATTGGGATCGAGCCCCACACTAGGCTCCCTGCTTGGCGGGAAGCCCGCTTCTCCCTCTCCCACTCTCCCTGCTTGTGTTCCCTCTCTCATTGTGTCTCTCTCTGTCAAATAAATAAAAATAAAATCTTTTTAAAAAAATCATCACTATGAAATTGAGATCAGCATAGAAAAAAGATAAAAACTTTGAATCTAATTTATAACAACACCCTTACACATTAGGGAAGAATCCTAACCATTAGCCTCCTTTTGTTATCCTGAGACCAGTGTCTTCAAAAAGGAAAAATTGAGAAAAGCAGAGTAATTCAATTCAAAAAATACTGAGCACTTGTGGGCTAGTGTTAGATCTTTCCAAGAACACACAGAGAGAACTGACTATTTAAAGGAGAAAGCAAAGTACTTATTAAAGTTACTGTTATGAAAGTAGAATAACATATACATAGAGAAAACAGTTTGTTGCTTACCAAAGGCAGGAGTGGGATGGGTGAAATGGATGAATGGGATCAAAAGGTGCAAACTTCCAGTTATAAAATTAATAAGTCCTGGGGATGTCATGTACAGCATGGTGATTATAGTTAATATTGTATGGCATATTTGAAAGTTGCTAAGAGAGTAGATCTTACAAGTTCACATCACCAGAAAAAAAATTATAATATATGGGCTGAGGGACTTACTCTGGTGATCATTTTGCAATATGTATGTAGGCATACCTCATTTTATTGTGTTTTTCTTTATTGCACTTTGCAGATATTTCATTTTTTACAAACTGAAGATTTGTGGCAATCCTGTGTCAAGCAAGTCTGTTGGCACCATTTTTCCAACAGCATTGCTCACTTCATGTCTCTGTGTCAAATTTTGGTAATTCTCACAATATTTCAAACTTTTTCATTATTATTTATTATGGTGATCTATGATCATTGATCTTTGATATTACTATTGTAAACACATTAGTAGATTTAGCATTGTGCCACAATGCCACATCCATGTAAGAATGTGAACTAAATAGTATTGACAATGCACTTGGTCACCCAAGAGCTCTGATGGAGATGTACAATGAGGTGAATGTGGTTTTCATGCCTGCTAACACAACACCCATTCTGTACCCCACGGGTCAAGGAGTAACTTCAATTTTCAAGTCCTGTGATTTAAGAAAATACATTTCATAAGGCTATGGTAGCAATAGATAGTGATTCCTCTGATGGATCTGGGCAAAGTTAGTTGAAAACCTTCTGGAAGGAATTCACCATTTCAGGTGATAAGACATTCATGATTCATAGGAAGAGGTCAAAATATCAGTATTAGCAGGAGTTTGGAAGAAGTTGATTCCAAAGTTATGGATGACTTTGAAGGGTTCAAGACTTCAGTGGAGGAAGTCCCTACAGATGTGGTGGAAATAACAAGAGACCTAGAATTAGGAGTGGAGCCTGAAGATGTGACAGCATTGCTGCAAGCTCATGATAAAACTTTAACAGATGAGGAGTTGCTTCTTATGGATGAGCACAGAAAGTGGTTTCTTGAGATGGAATCTACTCCTGGTGAAGATGCTGTGAAGATTGTTGAAATGATAATGAAGGATTTAGAATATTACATGAACTTAGTTGGGAAAGAAGTGGCAGGGTTTGAGAGGACTGACTCTAATTTGAAAGAAGTTCTGTGGGTAAAATGCTATCAAACAGTATCACATGCCACAGAGAAATCATTCATGAAAAGAAGAATCCATTGATGTGGCAAACTTCATTGTTGTCTTATTTTAAGAAATTTCCACAGCCACCCCTGCCTTCAACAGCCACCGCCCTGATCAGTCTGCACCATCAACTTCAAGACAAGACCCTCCACCAGCAAAAAGATTATGGTTTGCTGAAAGTTCAGATGATGGTTAGTATTTTTAAGCAATAAAGTATCTTTTAATTAAGGTATGTACATTGTTTTTTTAGACATAATGCTATTGCACACTTAATAACATAACTTTTGAATGTATTGGGAAACCAGCAATTCATTTGACTCATTTTATTGACGACCTGCTGTATTATAGTGGTCTGGAACCAAACCCTCAAATCTCCAAGGTATCCCTTATGCATAAATAGAATCATTATGTTGTACACCTGTTAACTAATGCAATGCTACATGTCAATTACATCTCAATTTCAAAAAAAAAATCAAGTTGTACACCTTGAATATATACAATTTTTATTTGCAAAAACTAAAACAACAGAGTAGAATAAGACAATTTTAAAAAATCAAAATGCTCTGGGGGTTGAAGGGAGGGAGAAGTCCCACCGATCTGAGAGCACTAGGAAAAGTGACATGGAGAGAGCATGGCAGATGGCGTTGCAAGAGCGGAAGGACTGGGTGCAGGCACTTCTGGCAGCGGACAGCTTGGGCAGCACCACAGAGGAGGAAACACAGGGATTTTTCAGAGAACACTAAGGGGATGAAAAGAAACCTGGAAATATACAGATAGAGGCTTGCAGTGCCAGGCTGGCAAAGTTTACACTT